GACCTATTTACCGATTTACAACTTGCACCTATTTCATTAATTCAAGCCTACCACGAACATTTATGACAACATATAATGATCATATATGGTTCCAAACGACATTATATTACCCCGAAATATTTTTTTTCTAAAATTTCAAAACTTTTCGACATCGGGACCCGAAACCTCCAAAATTTCTCAAAAAGCGTGGATATTACATTTCAATTTTGGAATTTTTTAACTTTTTATCGCCCGTAAAAAATTGCCGAAATGTTTACTACAGTCCCTAATACCCTCCGGGAGTCCAATTGGATGGGTGGAATCATTCAATTTGCCTTTAAATGGCCAATTTACCGTTTTTCCACTTGCATCGATTTCATTAATTCAAGCCTACCATAAACATTTATAACAACATATAAAGATAATATATGGTTCCAAACGGCTTTACATGGCCCCGAGATGTATTCTCTAAAATCTCAAGACATTTCGACACCAGGCCCTGAAACGTCCAAAATTTTTCCAAAAGCGTGTATATAATAAGTATTCAATTTTGTATTTTTTTGACTTTTTTTCGGCCAAAAATAAATTGCCAAATTTTTTACCATGGTCCCTAATACCCTCCTGGAGTCCAATTGGGTGTATCCATCCAATTTTCCTTTAAACGAGCAATTTACCGATTTACAAATTGTACCGATTTCATTAAATCAAACCTACCACGAACATTTATGACAACATATAATGTTTATAAATGTTCCATACGACATTATATGACCCTGAGATGTATTCCCTAAAATTTCAAGGCTTTTCGACATTAGTTATAGCTTATAGGTGTATCTAAAATTCTAAACAATAAACATTATCTAAAACTTGTTAAAGTGCGGCCAAGTAATTCATATTGAAGCAATGAAGTGTTGCTGATGAACCCCTTCAATCCATCTCACTACAATAGGACTCCTCACGCGATGACTTCCATCACTCCACTCAATTGACCCAAAACTCGTCGATCCTAACATCGATTGATCAAATTGATCAGTTTTTGTGCTCGTAAATATGATATCATACGATAATTTTTGTTTCTTGGCACTAAAATTGAGCTTTCTAGGTGAAACACTAAAATCTACATTGAGTGGCTTATTCACTGTAACGTCATAGACCGCATTAACTGAGGCTCCAACATTTTTCACCACCCTAGTGTATTTAACCTGGTTTTGCCTGATTCAAACACGACTGAGAACGAAGGGTAATTCAGACTTCCGGGGCTAGACAGATTCCTTGCTCCGCAATCAATAGTAACAGGATCTCTGAGAAAAATGGCAATATCTTTCGAGCCATACCCAATGGAACATAAAAACGCAATATAGTCACTAACATCAATATCATAGACTAGCCCGGGGTTGAGAGCCTTGTTTGGATCAACATGACCTGACCCGTGAACGAATAGTGAGGATTGTTTCCCTGTTGCAAGATCTGTGAAATTCTTCTTGGAATTGTCAAGGTAGTAAGCTGTAGTCATAAGGGCGGATTTGACAGCTGCAGGACTCCAACTAGGGTAAGTGTTTCTAAGGAGCGTGGCTAACCCACTGACGTGTGGGCAGGACATAGAAGTACCGGACATGACATTGAACTCGACCCTACGTTGATCAATCTTCTTCAACCCTGAGGGTCCAACAGCCCCGGTCCAACCAGCCAAGATGTTAACCCCTGGACCTATGACATCAGGCTTTAAGATTTCGGGTGTGACTCGATTTGGACCTCTGCTTGAAAATGCTGCCACCCTTGGTGCTGATGGCGAGGGACCTGTTACAGTCCCTTTGAATTTGATTGTGGCTGTTGGATTAGGAACTGAAGAAACATAGTCCTTGATTTTGTCCCCGGCAATTTGACCTACCAAAGTAGCAGGAATAATATGTGAATCAGCTACTAGTTCTTCACCACTTTCTGCTGTGTTAGTCAGAATCATTGCCACTCCTCCAGCTTGTTTTACTACCTCATCCTTGGCAACTCGTCCACTCGCTCCTCCTCGATCACATACCACCATTTTCCCTGCTACTTTTGATGAATTAAGTTCGCCTGTGACAAGATTAGGCCTCAGAGATTATACATGTAATAAACACATTACCCCCATATAAACTCAATTACACAACAAAAGCACTGTAAAATGTACACTAATTCGATTTTATAGTCATCCTAGCTAGTCTTATAGCAAGTTGCGATGAGATTTTATCAAATAAGACTTTGTTCTCAAATTAAACAACCATGATGCAAGTTAACACATAATTAATCAAGAAACTCGAAAAAAGGATGAACCTAGCCCTGTTTTCACTTAACCAAACTGCAAGTATAGCTAAAATTATCAGCTAAAATAAGGATCAAATCAAACACTCTAGCAACTGAAAGTAACAACAACAAAAATGATAAAAGGTTAACCAACCTGCAACGCAAAATCTACTGCCACAATCAGCTCCATTAACCAACTTTAGATAAACACTGTCATCCAAAGCTTCCCCTGCATACAAAGACGCGCCACTAAACTTCCTACCATCTCCCAACTCAACATGAGCAGAGAACTCTCTATCTATAGTCGATGCTCCAACAGTCAAAATCCACGGCGCAATATTGACTGCAGTAAAAGGGTTTGGCCCAGAGTTTCCAGCTGAGCAAGACATCAACACCCCTCTTTGAGCAGCATGTAGGCCACCAATAGCAATGTTATCATTAACATAGCTAGAATCCGATTTTTTAACCCCAACAGAGAGCGAGATAATGTGTACTCCATCCGCGATGGCCTGGTCTATGGCAGCCAGCATATCAGAGTCATAGCATCCAAGGGTCCAGCAGATTTTGTAGGCTGCAATGCGAGCCTTGGTGGCCATCCCCATAGCCTCCCCTCGAGCATAATCGAATAATTCGGCATTAGAAACAACTGATCCAGCTGCTGTTGAGGCCGTGTGAGTCCCATGCCCCTCGGTGTCTCGAGGTGATTTCGAGTCTTTGGTCTCGTTTATTGGCCCTTTAGCAGCTTCGTACCTAGACAAACTTATCATTAATCTCATTTTCACCCTTGATATTATCAATTTTCTCTTTGATTGTGGTCAATACTAGAAGACCTAGTACTTCAAATGATTTATCTGATTTGAAATAAGTAATAAGGTACAAATTACTAAGATAAGGTGAACTAAGCATAGCCTAGCTAATTGACTTCACATAACTCAACACGAACAATCGAACATGACATACAATTTGACAGCTCTAAAACATTGCAAGATGGTATAATATAAAAACATGATACAAAATAGTCATTAAAGCATTTTTACGATCACACTCATGTATCCTGATAGAATTCAAGCCTTTATCAGAAAATCTATCTATAATACAATTGAGTTAACAACAAAAGTAAAAGTCAACGATTTAGAGAGTTTTAGATTTAAGTAAGACATAGGGAGTATAAAAGTAGTATGTAGTTACCCTTGGAAAAAGGCACGAGCACCAATGATCTTCCGATTACAGGAGGTCGCCGGAAAATGAGGGCCCGCCTCGCAAGAGCCTTTCCAGGTGGCAGGCACCGGATCATATCCTTCATCGGAGAAGCTAGGTAGCTCAGGCCATATACCAGTATCAAGTACACCAATGATCACATTTGAAGCATAGTGAGATTTCGGCCAGAGACCGGTCCGTTGTTCGAGGCCCAAGAATTGTGGGGTACGGGTGGTGTGGAGGTGGTGGACCTTGTCAGGTACAATGGTGAGGACAGCAGGGTGACGCCAGAGCTCAGACACTTGGGCTGCGGTGAGGTGTGCCGCGAACCCTGTGGAGGAAAGAGTGTAAGAGTATAGGAGTTTAGGGGGGGGGGGGTGGTGGTTGAAAGAGAGTTGAGGATGGAGGAGTACCAGTCTTTGGGGGAGGCGAAGGTGTTCGACTTGTGGGTTTTCGACACGTGGATAATGTAGGTGGATTTTGATAGTGTATAAGGTAAGAAGAGGGAGAAGAGAATGAAGAAGATAGATAGATTAGCCATTTTTGTTTGCTATTTTTGGTAAGTGCATGTTGGTTTAATTTTCTGCTATTTAAAAGACTGCGTCATGTGCATGGAGCGCGCAAATGCGGAAGGACGATAAAAATATGTCTAATTTTAATATTTGGGTTAGGTATTATGGTTAGGCTATTTGGATTAGAAAACTATAGTTTGATTAATATATGAACGAAAAGAACACCACCGTGTAGCGCGAGGGTCACGCACGAGGTCACTATGGTCGAGAAAATAGCCTAAAACTATTGTAGACATATTATAGTCTCTATTGTCACGTATTGACAGTTTTCCTGATGTCCGGCACTGCAAGTCTCATATGGCATATGAGACTACCTCTCTACGCCTTTGTGCCTACATTGATGCGTGTCTTGATGCAGGTTAAACTAGAGTCATTGAGAGCTCAAGTGATTAATAATTAAAAGTTTATACATGTTGAACTTGTACTATAGTCCATAGAAGTTTTAGATAACTAAGAATGGTTTTATGTATTCAACCAAATCAAACTACAATAGGGACACAATAATGGCTATATCTTCAACAACAAAAGCCTTTGAAAAAAAGACTAGATGCCAAAATTTCAGTGAAATCCTGCATTACCCTTCTTAACGCAGAATATGAAAATAGAGAGAATATCTGCTTCTTAAGCATGATTTATGAGTAATCAATGCAAATAATAATAATAATAATAATAATAATAATAATAATAATAATAATAATAAAATAATAATAATAATAATAATAATAATAATAATAATAATAATAATAATAATAATAATAATAATAATAATAATAATAATAATAATAATAATAATAATAATAATAATAATAATAATAATAATAATAATAATAATAATAATAATAAAAAAAAAAAAAAAAAAAAAAAAAAAAAAAAAAAAAAAAAAAAAAAAAATAATAATAATAATAATAATAATAATAATAATAATAATAATAATAATAATAATAATAATAATAATAATAATAATAATGCATTGTTTTTCAGCAGCAAGAACCACAACAGCTTGGTACACAATTGTGGCAAAGTTTTACCTTACAACAACAATTACTAGAGCACAACTTGAATAAGCAACAATTCTGAGGGAAACATGAACAACCTTTTATGCCACAACATTTAGGACGACAACAACTCTTCCTCGAGCAACAGCAACTTTTTCGTGGTTGTTGATCATGATGCTCCTTATCTGATCGACTGCATCCACTGAAACAGCAAATACAACGATTTAAAACACAATTTTCCCCTGGTCATATTTCAGACATTATTAATACTGTACTACAACCAGAATTATTCCTGCAGTGTTTCAGTAAGCTTGCATATATGCTGTAAACAGACTGAGATGTAAATGGCAGGATACTGTGAAGACTATGGATGAACTTTAAAATAAAAACCAGTAGCTGAAGCCTAGGACGTAAATTGTAATTTATTTCTTCCATCTTTCGGCTACTCAGCTAAGAGAACCATAGATAGAGAAGGCTTTGTTTTTTCACTTTCAAATATTAAGCTTTAGGAATGATAAGTTCAGGAAAAATCCAATCAGTTTAAAAAAGGAACACTATACCCAAGTTCAATCACCATTTAAATATATTCAAACTAATTACATATCCAAAAAGTACTGATGATGATTTCAATAAGCTCACATAAGCATTTTACAAGTGAAAAGAACAAAACCTCAATAGTATGGCTTACGGTTAGAAGAAGGGGCTCTTACCAAGAACCAACATGCATGCACAGTTGATTCTCCTAGAACAATCACAGCAAGAGGGAAAAAAAAGGGAAGAAAAGTACCTGATTCTCCATGAACACGAACAGTCTGACTGACTAGATTTCTGCTGATTTCTACAGATCGATATCACAGGAAATAGATTAATTCCATATCAATATACAATGGAATCACAAGAAACTAAAATGAGGTGTAGAATAAAGTCATGAACATACACAGTTATCAAGGGATCTGGTTTTGTTGCTACGAAGTCATTGATCCTGTCAGAGCAAGTTACATAAATGAAATGATAAGGGGCTGTGAGATTGCTAATAGATGAAAATTGAAAAGAGGCAAAAGGCATGAACATAATTTGGAATTAAAGGTACATAATTAGCGAAATCAGCCAGTCAACGAGCCCTACATACTCTTTGCAGCTTCTAGAAGTAGGTTGAACGTTGTCAAGTGACTTCAACTCTTCCTGCTCATCATGGTAACAACAGAAACTATGTTTAATGTGTCATTAACAAATGGAGGTCAACGCATGAGTAGAGAGAAATAATTCGATGCCATTACTGTCATTTTAACGTCAGACTTAAAACTGAGGAAAGCTAGAAATTGCCATTATTTTGTATATAGAGGTACAACTCTTAATAACAGGTACAGGTAACAGAATCAAGAGCTACTCAACTCATCAAGTAATACATCCTCACATTCTTTAGGTAATCTATATATAAAACTTAGTTGTATCATCATTACTTCTATCATGTAACATATCAGAAGCTGAATATATATAGAAATTACAAACAACAGAATTATTTGGTCATATTTGATTTCTTGTCACACGATCATTCAGAAAACTCATTCTGTAGATTGCCTTGAGCAGGCTCCTTCCCCTTTCGTAATCCTCTCCTCCCTTGCTTCTCAACCCTCCGTCCATTGGTGTCTATCATATCAACGATTTCCATGTGAACACCTGGATCATTGCTAGCGTAGGTACCACCAAACATGATGGAGTTGTTGACAGCCTGGAAGTTGCTGTTCACATAAGTGTCCAAACTTTCAGGCTGATCATCACCAGGCAATTCCTCATGATCGTCATGCTGCTGCTTATGATGGCGATCCAACAAATCACCCCTCATGGTAGCTCCTGTGTTGGTCCCAGAAATTGTGATGATTCTAACTCCGTTTTCATCCTCATCCCCCATGTGGGGACCAAGGGGCCCACTTGCTCCCGACTTTTGGATCTGATGAAGATCATTCATGCGAGAGGTAATTGCATTAACCATCTCTTTAGTCTCACGGTCTATCTGTCTGAGCCCCTCCCCTTCAATAGAAGGTGGGTTTGGCTTCATTGCCTCGGAAGACATGGCACTTAGGTTTAATAAAATCGGAAAGGAAAACAATGTGTGAAAGCTTTTATCTATTGTGAATGATATTTGGTTAAGTTTTTGAATGAATAACAATCCAATTATATAGAAAAAGAACTGAGGTGGCTTAAAGGTTCAGAGGAATAAAGAAAGGGAATGCCTTAAATATCAATTCAAGTATATTTCTTTTGAGAAAAGTCTTGTTAATTGGTAAAAGGATTGCTTCATTCTTGTATCATTAGGAATACAACCTAACAATGCTATCCTGCTAGATACTTTTATGCCTCTGCCTTCACTAATAAGCTCATATTCAGGAATAGTTAACTTTTTCCAAAACATTCCCAAATTTCGCCAAAAATACAGGCCTCATTAAACTATTCCTGCAACTAATGATTCAAAATTTCAAACTAAGATATGCAAAATATGCAACACTCTAATAAACTTTTCCCTAAGGACTCCCTAAAATGCCCTTTTTCCTCAGGAGCACCCAAGTATCCTTGTCAAGTATACAAATTTTAGCATATCTCAGTCATGAATTTGGCAGCCCTCATCCTAAAACCAAGACAACACATTGACAATGACGGAAGAAAACTCCTTTCATCCTCAAAAGTACTACTCGTGTCGAATACTCCACTACACAAGCTTAAACATGTATACGATACTGGATAAGTTGCTCGTTAAACACTAAGGATCTTAAAGAAGCCTCTAGTGCAGTTATACCCAATACTTAAAACTCGGGATCAAACCTCGTCTACAAACTCGGGCCATTTATGACATACAAGTTGTAAATGTTAGCTAGCTTAGTAGGTAAAGTCTTAAGGTTACGACATGAGGTAAAACCAATACTTAAAACTCGGGCTCAAACCTCGTCTAAATTCTTTAATAACTACACCAAGCTCCATGCATGTAACAAACAAACATTTTGTAATTTACAAAACACTCAAACAACACAAACATAAACCACTTTCAATTCAAAACAAAATAACACAAAAATTAGATAATCATAATAATACCTCAAGAAAACCAATTTCTCTCTCCAAAACCTGAAGTTTGGCTTGGTGGCGGCGCTTGGCGTACAAACTAGGAGGTGACTTTGGCATCGGCTGCTCCGCCATTTTTTCCTCTTTAAGAAATTTATTTAAAAAGTTTTAATTGTTTTTGTTGTATAAACTTGGCAAAATAAGCTCAACCATATTTTCAGCTGCTACTAGTAGTAGAGTCTAAAGCTAGTACCTGCAAATTGTACAAATATGGAAAACGACGTCGTAAATGGTGCATTCACAATGTGGCAGGAAGATAGTGGAGTTGAAGAGGAGAAACAGAGCAAAGGACTATAAACAGAGCACAGTTGGCACATGACTTTTTCAGAGGAGGGGGTAATTTTAGGAGAGAGAATTTTTTTGATTTCCCAAAATGACCCTGGAATTTAAAGTTGATGAGGGAGAGAAAAGAGGGTAAAATGGGAATTTCAAAAAAAAGACAAAGATAGCACGGCGGAGAAGACGGTGTCGTTTTATAGGTTTGAGATTTACGAGGGAAAGGAGTGAGGTGTCAAGTAGTCATAAACGTGCGTTTACTCAGGATTTATGACCTCATTCAATGGGAATCTAACCGTTTTCCTTGGATTTCCTCACAGCCGCTTTCTACACTTTTTTTTTTTACTTTTCTTGGGAGGGTAACATTTTTTGGGGTAGAGCAACATAATTAAATTATTACTTGTATAATGAAGGTACAGATTGTTAATTAAGAAATACTTCTAAATTTATCTGAACTTGTTCAAAATAGAGGGTGTGATATCTCAATACGAGTTGAGATATGTGACAACTAAATTTCGATGTTGTACTCGATTGTAACAATGGCAAGATTTATTGAGAAAATACAAGTTCATCTAATTTGTTTATCTAATAGCATTTTCGTAAATAAATCAATAAAAAATCTCAGTCAGCATGACATTTTCGTAAATAAGTCAACATTTGTAAGACCCACATATTAATAAAAGTTGTTCACTTATTTACAAATATGTCATGCTGTGACTGGGATGAATTATTAATATATTTAGGAAAATGCCATTAGATAAACAAATTTTGTTTATCATGAAGATGAATGGGGCTCCCTCGGATTTATGTTATTACTATTGATGATCAAAAACATAACCACTGCCATGCCATCAGTATGTATGTGAGAATGTAACCATAACCTCACTTATTTCCGGTCAAAACCGGATATAGGGAATGACGTGGCTAGTAGCAACTTACTCGGAGTAGAAGTAATACTTAAAAACACTATGCAATGTGAAGTGTTACCTATATGTGCTATAGCTATAACTAAACTACGGCAGCTATAAGGAAGAGAATTCGTAAAGATACTACTCTGAATTGGCAGTGAAGGATCAGATTGCTGATGAACAAGTAGAATACCTTCAGATCTTAGTTTTTGCATCAGCAAAATGAACAGTTATCTTTACAACTTCTTCAACAACAAACAAAGAAGCACTTTCTTCCTAGCTTGCCTTGCAGGATCTGAGCTTGCTAAAACAGACAAAAAGCTAAGGTGCACAGTTATGCAGTATCATCTCTCTGCTATACTACATCAGCTTTAATGCCTACCTAGACACATTCTCCACTACAGCACTAATACCTCCCCGTAACTCTAGCCGTTTGGTCATAGAGTTGTAGTTCAATAGTGTGAGCAATTGAGGAACATAAGTCTTGCGGTCTTGGGGTTCTTGAATTCTTCATGCAATACTGAGTAATAGTCGAGGGCAATTGCTCAAATTTAGCAACCAACAGTTAATTTTCTGTTAAGTTCAAGGCTTCAATAATCAGACAGTAGCAATTTCTCAAACAATAGTACAAGTAAAACGTAGTACAAAATAGGAATTGAGTCAATTGACACAGCAAACAATAACGAAATCAAACATTATCTTAAAAGATGCCTTCATAAAAATAAAAAAAAATAAAAAAAGAGATACAGTATTGTTCATATGATAACAAAAACCAACACAAAAAGTATTACAGAAAAATATGTTTTTATTTTCCATATTGAATTCTGACATTACTTGCAGAACATTCAAGTGATAATGACAAGTAGTTTTACAAAAAGAAATCATATTCGCGCAAAAATTCTCCATAATCAATCAAGATAAGGCTATCTTTCTAAGTATGTATGATTACATGTGGACAATAGGTACAACAATGGGGTTGTCAACTTGTCATTTACAAGCATAATTTGGTGCTATTCGGCTCAGAGTCCAGGAACGCAAGGAGAAAAAAAAAATCCATGAGTCCAGAAGCTCATACCTAACAAGGTGAATATGTCGGAGCAGATCAGGCATATCATTGCTTTCTCTGATTTCCAGCAAGGCAGCAACAATTAAGATGTATTATGATTCTTATTGTAAACCGCTTACACTCATGGCACTGACAACCCTAAATGACAGGAAGATCAGGTACAGGGATATAAGACCAATACCCAACATTTTACTGGGTCGCATATCTTTCTTGAGTAAGATCACAATCGCCCAAATAAGCCCAACTAACAGAAAGCCAATTGTGTAGAACAAGCTACTGTCTTTGGGAACTATATATGAAGCAGGCCTAGCTGACCAGGCACCGTGCAGCAATGAGATCCCCAACCCGATCAGTGTGTTAAACATAGGACCAGCATAGCACCCTGACAAGGCAATCTGCACACCATCCCCACCATTCAATGCCAATGCAACATTTGAGACCAGATCTCCCATAGAGTTCCCCCATGCCAAAACAGTCAATCCAAGAATTGATGGGTTGATTCCCAAAATAATGCCCAGTGCCACCAAAACACCAACAAGTTCACTTGCAATCATGTAGAACCACACAATACTCATAAAGAAACCTCCGAGAACCCATGGTAATAAAAATCTCTGTGGTGGATGGTCTGGTATGGTGTAACAGTATGAGAGAACTCCAAGCATGCAACTAGCTGCCAATAAAATAACATAGGCAAAATCTTTGCCTACAGAACCAGGAACATCAACAGTGCTCCATAAAAACACAATGAGAATAGGAGCCAATGTGGCACTCGCAACAGCATATGGCTTTGACCAACTTTTCTCCTCAACCATTGGAATTGTTAACCGTCTTGGAACAGATAAAGGAAGCTCCAAGAGTGAGAACAGCTTGGGGCAGGAAAAAGAAGAGTTCTCAGATTCCACGCGTTCATCATTCCATCCCCAGGGAGGCCTTTCATTTTCTGATTTTAAAGACTGATGTGAGTAAATTGCTACATTGGAAGCCCACATCCACTGTGGTAAAGAAGGATGGAGACGGGGAGCATCATTATCGCTCTCAAAGTCAAGTAGGGGGTTGTAAATAGCATCATCCTCTGAGCCTCCTTGAGCGTAGACACTTCCTTTTACAGGAAGCAATGGGGTGACAGCATCCAGTTTCAGTCTGTGTGCTTCCTTTCTCAATAACTCATTTGCAGCAACAGCGAATGCATAGAGAACATATACCATTAAAAAACAAATGGCCGCCCCAACAGTAATTCTCCCCACAAACAAAATTAACAAAAGTGACAGGATGGTCACCAGAAAGAAGCTAAGATCCCTGATAAAGCATCTCCGATCAATTTGAACCTGCTTATTAGCCACCAAGAGTGAAACAGTACCAACAACAACACAAGTCACAAAGACCGCCCCACCCAACACACTGTTCAAGCCAACCTCACCAGCACCAGTACCCACAAAAGCTGCTATGCTAGCAAATACATCAGGAGCCCCATTCCCAAGTGGTAGGAGAGTGACTCCCGCAACAGTAGGTGGCAGTTTCAATATATTCGAGAGCTTTTCTAATGAACAACAAAAATAATCGGCTGCAGTATTACCTAGAAGGTAAAACAATGCCGCGAGCCAAACACCTAACACTGCATAACCCAATAGCTTAAATCTCTGGCAATCACAGTAAAAGAACTGCAAGTAATCAAAGAACCCACTAGTCGAGCACTCCGAATGCGCCTTTAAATACTCACAGGGAGAATCAAAACCCACATGATCCCTTAACCCAACACATAACACAGCATTTTCTTCACTCAGTTCATTATCTAGAACAACAGACCCATTACCAAAATTCGTTGAATTAACCCTAATTTCAGCTGTCTTACGCCGGATTAATTCCATATGAACCGATCCATCGACAGAATTAAGATGAACAGGCCACCGATTACTAATCACAGAAGATTGCCTAAGTAAAGGGTTTCTAATGACATCTTCTCTGTTGAAGAAAAAGAAAAATAGGATCACAGCACATAATCCATTGAAAATCCCACGAAATTGGGATCTTCTTCTAGGATGAAAAATACCCAATTGTTCCATTTCTTGAGCTGCAACTAATTACATCGAACAAAATTGGAAGAATTCTAGGGTTTCAATTTGGGGAAAATTGAAACCCTAGTGTATCAAAATGTACTAAAATTAATACAAAATGGATTGAAACAAAGTTCAATCCTATAAATTCTTGGCAATAATGAAGAACACAAAGAAATTCACTTTGATTGATCTGCCTTACTCAAAAAAACTTGTTCTGGTATTACAAACTTAATTGCTTGAACATCGAATTTCTTGAATTAAATTCGTTTTCTGGGAATCTCTGTCTTCCTATTTTGGGGGTGAAGTTAGCAAGAATTATTGGATGATTCGAAGATTACAACCCCTGAAAATTCTTGGAAATTCTGGGTTTTTCACTAATTTGGTTGTTGCTTTGTTGGGTGTGACTTGTGAGAGAGAAGTTAACGTGGTAAACATGACGAGGAAATGATATTCTCTCGACTCGGTTAAACGGTCAAGTTGGACTGTCTTTTGATTTTTGATGTCCATAATTAGAAGTAATCCATTTTGCTTATTTGAAGCCCGTTTACAAGATCCAACTCACTACAATATAGTAATAGAACATATGGATCAAATTTTGAAACCGCAACCTACACTGCAAACGTAACAATAATATAGTCATGTGAAATCTTGTTAGATTCGTCTTATTGGTAATCAAAGATATTAACAATTCAAAACATGCATTGGCAGACATGAAAAGATAATTGTGCAAGTATTAAAAAAATAAAAAATAAAAATAGAGGAAGTATTTTTTTTTTATTTATTTCGATTTCCTAGCTTGGGGAGAAATAAAGTATCCTCATTGACGTGGGATCCTAGGTTAGCCTATACCCTCCCTATATAAGAGGGTTTAGGCTTAGTGGAAAATTATAATTGATTTTTGTGAGAAGAAAATCATCAAGAGAATTATTATCTTATTTTATAGAAACTTAATACTCCTTAAAACAATATTTTATTTGAGGTAAATTTCCTCATAAACACTCTCTTTTATTATCGTGTTTTGCTATTGATTTTATATTGTGTTTGAGATTAAGTTCCCAATTCGTTCTAGTACAAACATCTGTTATAACACCAACATTACAACCCTTGTGCTATCATCAATCTCCATTATTCATCTTCTATAAAGTTAGGTTACTTTATCAAAATCCACATAAAAAAAAATTGCAAATAATTGCAAAGGATAATGCAAAATACAAAACTAATGTAGCCATGTAGGTGCATTGTCACAGACTCACAGTCTCATCCAAGAGTTCTAATATGATACGGCAGTCCCCACTTAAAGCTGCCTATATATAACATCATTGATTTCTTCCCATCTCTTCGATTATATATAAACTCCAATTCTAACCATCTCACTCACTCAACCTTTTCTAGTTTCATACGACAAACAAAAAATAGAGAAAATTAAAAGTATGAATTATTAATCTTTTTGATATTTTCCTTCATCCCCTTTATAGAATTTCTGAAAATGTGATTAATTTTTATTTGGGTTTTTTTTTTTTTTTTTTTTTTTTTTTTTTTTTTTTTTGCAGAATTGCAAGGATGAGTTTTGCAAAGAAAGAGTA